CGATGGCTCGTTAACAGCTCGCAACAGCGTAACTGGACCGAGATATCGCTCATCTTTAAACGCGTTCCGGTATTCGAATACCCGAGTTTTGATTACGATGCTTCGCAATTCGTTCGCCTATGAAATCCCTCTTTAAATCCACCTTTCCATTCTCGCAGCGCAAACCTCTCCCTCGAATCGAGGAGGACCAATAGGATTTTAGTCCAACGATAACTCGAGGATGCGGAATTTCCACGGGAAATTAATCTACGCGTAAAAGTAAGTCGAAATGCAGGAACGAAATTTTTCCGTCCGAGGCTCCGTTTCCGAGGAAATCCGGTTCGAAACTTGGAGCACGCGCGCATTCGATTAACTCGCAATGAAACGCGATCAGCGCCGCGCGCCACGGTGTCCACCATTGCTATTTCCAACTCGATTATCTCGAAAACGGAGCTTCGAACGAGAAAACTTGCCTCTTCCTTTTCGGTTTATTTTTTCGCGTAGAACAAGGATATCGAAGCGCGATTCATCCATTACCTTGGTTAAGCTGGAAAAAGCGGGTGGGATAACAAAATATCCGGTGTAATCGACGAATCTCGGGTACTAATCACCCCGGACAATACCGATAACTGGGACGAGTGCAGCGAGGGATCGATATGACAGGAGAGAAGCCCGTAATCCGACTTAAGCCGATGACTATCGCGATTTTCGTATTTTCCACGAAACATTTGTTGGTATGCGCAGCGGGTGCCGTCTATGGGGGTAATGGGGAAGCCAAGCTTGGAGGGATCGCGACAAAGATGAGAAGAGCGACGGAGTTTAAAGGAAAGCTTGGCTGCCGAACGACTAATAAGATTACCTTCCGCCTAATCATTCTCGCTCCCGTGAACGCCATGCAACCCCACGCCATCAAACGTTCTCCATTCTCCAACCTTCCAGCCTTCTCCCGTACAACCGCCATGCCTGTATTCGCGAAGGATAATTTTCCGAGGCGACACCTAATTATCGGGAAATTCTGCGCGTCCACGGGCTTCCAACCTGAACCAGTGCTTTGGAGACAGACAGACAGATAAGTGGTGGGATAAACGGATGGATTAACCGTGGCCTGGTACACGAGCAACTTTTGTACAGTCAGCCAACGGAGCTGGCTTTTCGTTTGCTAAAAGTCGCGAGGCGAGATACCAGGATGATGGTTATGGTTCACGGGTAGAGAAAGTAGACTGTGTTGCGCCGGGGATCAATTTTCCGTGAAATTCCTTTTACTTAGAGGGGAACCGGTGTTGTGGGTGTTTCGATGCTCTCAGACTAGCGTTCTTCGCGCTGATTTCTGCTCTCGTTTATTCGTGGCTGAGGTTTTGGTGCATGGTACTGTCGTAATATTTGTTAACCCTTTGCACTCGAGAGGCGACTCTCAGTCTCAATTTAATCAGATTCTAAAGATCGATGTTAATTAACGCATCAAATTTAAAATTACCCAACAATGCGTGGAATTTCGAGGAAAAATAATTCTACGTCTTAATTTGCATACTATCTACCGTTTCAAAAATATCCTCGAGTTTATGGCAGAAAGTCTTCGAATTGCTATTTTCCTGTAACGAAAATGTCGAGTGCAAAGGTTAACCCCTTCTCGTGCCATCTAGCTCGACGAAATCCGGGCCCAAATGATAGACGTCTACTGCTTTGTAACAGAGATTATAAGAGTGGTGGATGAAATATCAATGACAATAAGAACAATTCTTTATTTAATTATAAAAGAAATGATCAAACACAAATATTAAATATAAATTTAATTAATTCCTGCCATCACATGCTCACACCTCTTTTCACTATTGCAACTCAATTACAACTGACCTATGCCCAATCTCTCTGGTTTGTTCTTTCTACTTTCATGTATTATATGAACATACACAATTCACGCACACCTCCATCATTACACGCATACTCGTTTATGAGGATAACCTGAATCCATTAGATATTGGCATCCTTGTCCTTTGCATACTTGTCCCATTCATCCCTTTCTTACACACATCGCTCCTTTATTATATCAACACCTACATATTCAAAATGTATGTTAACCATTACCACAGATTGTAATTGGCAAAACATCATTCCGTGATGTTTACGTTTGTCCGATTTGCTATCCACGAGTCTGGCTCGTGGTATTCATGTTTGGGCCGTCTTTCTGTTCACGAGTCTGACACGTGATATTTGTGTTTGGACCAAAATCTTCATCACGAGTCTGACTCGTTGAAGTACGGGAAGAGGTTAATAACATTTGAGATATTTTTACGTGGGAGGCTAATTACGCGTGGTTAATATCCCTCGTTCGTACAAAGGTAGAGATCTCGAGGCTTAACAAATTTCACCATGGATCAGATATTTTTAACTTTCTGTTCCAAGTAATTAATTTTAGAGGCACACAAATGACCCGTGGCGTGGAAAATGGAAATTGCTCCACTTTCGTATTTCAAATTCCACCGGTGATGCGTGCCCGGTTAGCAATGTCGGATGTACGCGATAAATATTGTCGAGAATATCTCGAGAATTTTGGAAATTTTCAGGCACCCTTTGAGGTGCGAGAATGTGCATCAATCGTGGTTTGTAACTTCTGCGGGTATTTGCGCCTTTGCAGAAAATGTCTTTAACGTCCCGATATCGCGACGAATTTATAGCCTGTCATCCGCAGAAGACAGTCCACGGTACCTGTTGATGGTCCAATAAATAAATCTTTTCGCCACGGTGATTTCGGGCCCCTGAAAATTTATGTGCACAGTTGGTAATACCCGTGCAACACAGTAGCCACGATTATCATTGACTCCTTGGCCGACGCAATCCATTCGAATTTCGCGAATCACCGTCGTCGATCAGGGATTCCTTTTGACTGGAAAAATTCCAGTTCCACTGGGAACCAGTTAGAATCCGCACAATCGAGATCCCTACGATAAAATACCATCCCTCGTAACTAGGAAAACAACAATCGATTACCGGTATTCAAATTTTAGTATAACAAAACGAGCTCCCTCGAGCAAATCGAACTTACGACTCCAAAATTTGAAATCCCGTATAAATTGAACCGCGAGAAGCTGTTCGGAATGTTACTTTCATTTGGCAGCACGCGTCGTGGAAAATATACCCGGTGTCTGCAGGATTTTTCAATGTTCAGATATTCGAGATGAAGCCTTCGGAATATTGATGAAAGCGATTTCCAGGAGCATAGGTCGATATCCATTTTCGTTGACAGAGAAAAGGTAGAGATAAAGTGGAAGGACAGGAAAAAGCGGAATCTTAGGGAGAAAGTAAAGACGCGGAGGAGTGGAAGCAGAAAAATGTCGTATCGTTACAGGAACGATAAGCGGGGTTCGCGAAAGAAGTTCCGCAGCCGAACCTCAGCCAAAGCTAACTCGAAGGAGAATTTCGAAATTCGAGTTCCAAGGGAGTTTATCAGACGCGAGGCTGGATAACGAGATAGCGGCTTATCGCGCCTGCGTGATATATAGACCGTGGAAAAACTTGCTAAACCGTTAAGGAGAGAAAGATTGCGCCAGAAATTTCATATACGCGCAAGGTTCTTGCGTATGCCAGGGTATACGAGTATCAACACGGGAAGCACACATATGCGGGTCCCATTTTTCATTACGCCACGTGTATCGAGTGACACGTGATCGAAGTATCGACGTGTTTACACGCGTGTTCTCCAGCTGACGAGGCTCGCTGGGAAATTTGTCGGCTGCGGGAGAGAAAATTGAAATGATCTCCGTAAACGAGGTAGCACGTTGAGCGGGACAATTATTCGCGAATAGTGGATAATACGCGGAGATTGGGTTGATAAGGGAAGGAAAAATTTTGGAAATTTTATGCCAGTAAGAAAATGTGGAATATTCGCGTGGAAAATATTTTTTCGTGGATATTTGATCCTGGTGAATTATTTCAAATTTGGTGATAAATATTGATAAAGTATTTAGCTCCATTACGCGATATTTTTAGGAGTCGTTATTAAATTTCCCTAGGGAATTTTATCGTATTCTCCGAATTTCCCAATATTTTTTCGTGGATATTTGGTCCTGGTGAATTATTTCAAACTTGATGATAAATATTGATAAAATATTTAGCTCGATTACGCGATATTTATTAGTGACTATTATTAAATTTTCCTACGAAATTTTATTCCATTCTCCGAATTTTCCAATATTTTTTCGTGGATATTTGGTCCTAATAAATTATTTAAAATCTGGTGATAAATATTGATGAAATATTTAGCTTAATTACGCGATATTTCTAGGAATCATTATTAAATATTCCTAGGGAATTTTATGGCATTCTCCGAATTTCCCAATATTTTTTTGTGGATATTTGTTCCTGGAGAATTATTTAAAATTTGGTAACAAATATTGCTAAAATATTTTACTCGATTGCGCGATACTTTTATGAATCATTATTAAATTTCCCTAGAAAATTTTATTTTATTCTCCAAGTCTTCCAAGTTTAAAATTTCCAAATTTTTAAACTTTCAAAATTAATAAAAAAAAATTCCATGTTCTGGAATATTTAACTTATCGAAGTTTAAAATTGTAAAAATTCCGAACTCTGGAATATTTAAATTTTCAATATCTCGAATTCTCGTAGCTCTAATTTCTCGAAGCTCTAATTTCTCGAATATTTAAATTTTCAATGCCTCGAATTTCCATAATCGTAATTTTCAATTCTTTTTCTTTTTTTTTTTTTTAAGTTTAGAAATCGAACAGTTCTGTTTCCGCGATTAACGTTACTCTCTCGAACATGGATGATGGCTTTCGAAGGCCGCTAGTGGCGGATTCTTGCGCAGAAAAGCGTTAATCGACGACAGCGTCGTCTAATTACGCAATTAATCGGCCGCCACTCGGTCGACTAATTTTATCGAAAGTGTAACAGAACTTTCCCGTTTTCCTGCGGCTGGTTTCTATCGCGCGTTGCAACCAGGTGAAACCAACCTGGATGATCGTGCTATCGCGATCTCGAGATCGATACTTGATTGGGACGCTTACCTTGTAGATCTCATCTACGAGTCTAGTGAGTTCTTCGGTTTCCATGGTATATACCCCTTCGATGTCTGAGAGCTGCACTTTAACCGACTTCACGAGATGCTCATATTTTTCCGTCCTTCCGAAACCGGATCTCACGTAGCCGTTCCACTTTCGCGAAGTCGATCGTTCGGGATCGGAAACCGATAAATTTCCCCCTAATTCGTCTCTGTTCGTCGGCCGGACCTGTAACGAGAGGAAAAAAGGCTAAAGAATAGACAGAGTAAGGTTCGTTTAACGATGCACACCGCCTTCGGCGTTTATTGGCTATTCCGTTCCGTCGAAACTCAACGTCCACGCACTTTACGCCGACGATAAGAGCTTTTAATTCCTCCTTCCTCGAGCCCCCCTCCAAACTCTCGATAAGGGTCTATAGCTTCACGCTGTCTCACTGTACCCTAACACTTATCCTCCTAACTTTTATTATCCGAACAGTAGCGTACCTTCTTCGTCACCTTAACGCAAACTTGCTTTTTCCTATAAATTTCCCATTTAAAAATCTTCGATTTGGGGGTCTTTTTATTATTTGTTACCATGAGACGTGATAAAAGGATTCTCTCATTCGGACGAACGCGTTTATAGCGTTTGGATAATTCGAATGGCGAAGATTTCACCGCGTTTTTATTCCCGTGACGCAAATAGACGCATTCTTCTTGGGAGTTTGATTTTGATGGTTGGATCGAGAGAAGGGATGGAGAAAGAGTGGTTTCTGCGATTAAGTTGCGTCACAGGGACAGACGAACAATGTGTCTGGGGGCTGTAAAATTTGAATAACCCTGTACGGTTCGGGCATTATGCAAATGCTTGAAATCTGTAAATTATAATGCAGAAAGAGGAGGCGCTGGCGATTCAAGGAGATCCTCTGTATTCAAATTAATATAAAGAGGCTTAACAAAGTCGAAACAGTTGCCAAGCATGCTAATGTATCATGCTGATACAGCGCTAAGTGAATTTAACTGCTATTCGTTGGGGCAAGTTCGTACGGGCAACGAAATTGCACGAATTATCTCCGGGACGTTCCAGCCAGGAGAGGGCCAGGTGCAATAATTCACGAGTAACCGGCGCATTTAGAATAACAATTTACAAAATCTTGAGCGGCAAATTCAACGATGCTTTTATGTTAATGTTCGCGCATTAAAATTCTCATCGCGCGATACGAAGGACTCCCAGCATCTCGTTCTGCGTGCTTAATGAAAACGTGTGCACGGGAACGCTTGTTTCGCTGCAAATATCCTATTTCTTCCAGTAACAACTGCCTTCCAGCTCGAATCTTCTTTAATGCTACCTTTATTCTCCAATCGGGTTCCATTCGCTACCGATTTCTTTGAACCAAGGGACGGAAATTATTTCTTAATTATACACGTTCCTTTCTTTCTATTTTCCTATCTTTTCTGCGACATTATTCGCTGTCTAATAATATTAGCCGATTGGCCAGTTGCAATTTGGATATCACGGAATTTCATTGCATAATTGTTTCAAAAATATTGGCACGTTTTCAACGAAAGTCAAAAATAAATGATCATTTATTTTCCATTTCAAACGAGGTTGCATTCGTGACCGACTTTTTTGAACGAAGAAGTATAATTTATTTTTTAATTATTTACATTCCATTACAAAAATAAATGATAATTTATTTCCTCTTTCAAACAAGGTTGCATTCGCTACCGATTTCATTAAAGGAAGAAATAAATATTATTTTTTAATTATTTACATTCCATTCTTTTCACTTTGGTATCTCTTCTGCGGCATTATTCGTTGTTTAATAGTATTAACCGATTGATCAGTTGCAACTTGCAGATCGCGGAATTTCATTGCATAATTAGTTCGTGAAAAACATTGATACGTCTTGAACCCTGGCAAAAATAAATAATCATTTATTTCCTCCTTCAAACAAGGTTGCATTCGCTACCGATTTCATTAAAGGAAGAAATAAATATTATTTTTTAATTATTTACATTCCATTTTATTTATTTTGATATCTTTTCTGCGCCATTATTCGTTGTCTAATAACATTAGCCGATTGACCAATTGCAATTTGGATATCACGGAATTTCATTGCAAAATTAGCTCATGAAAAACGTTGATACGTCTCGAACCATGAGAAAAATAAATGATCATTTATTTCCTCCTTCAAACAAGGTTGCATTCGCTACCGATTTCATTAAAGGAAGAAATAAATATTATTTTTTAATTATTTACATTCCATTCTTTTTATTTTGGTATCTTTTCTGCGCCATTATTCGTTGTCTAATAATATTAGTCGATTGACCAATTGCAATTTGGATATCACGGAATTTCATTGCATAATTGTTTAAAAAATATTGGCACGTTTTCAACGAAAGTCAAAATTAAATGATCATTTATTTTCTATTTCAAACAAGGTTACATTCGTGACCGACTTTTTTGAACGAAGAAGTATAATTTATTTTTTAATTATTTACATTCCATTCTTTTTATTTTAGTATCTTTTCTGCGCCATTATTCGTTGTCTAATAATATTAACCGATTGACTAATTGCAGATCGCGGAATTTTATTGCATAATTAGCTCGTGAAAAACATTGATACGTCTCGAACCATGACAAAAATAAATGATCATTTATTTCCTCCTTCAAACAAGGTTGCATTCGCTACCGATTTCATTAAAGGAAGAAATAAATATTATTTTTTAATTATTTACATTCCATTATTTTTATTTTGGTATCTTTTCTGCGCCATTATTCGTTGTCTAATAACATTAGCCGATTGACCAATTGCAATTTGGATACCACGGAATTTCATTGCATAATTAGTTCGTGAGAGATATTAGCAAAAATAAACGATCATTTATTTTCCTTTTCGAACGAGGTTGTTGTATTCCTGATCGATTTCTTTAAACCAAGAAACGGAAATTATTTCTTAATTATCTACATTCCTTTCTTTTTATTTTCCTATGTCTTTTGCGCCATTATTCGCTGTCTAATAATATTAGCCGATTGACAAGTTGCAATTTCGATATCACGGAATTTTATTGCATAATTAGCTCGTGAAAAATATTGATACGTCTCGAACCATGGCAAAAATAAAAGAATGAGAATTCCAATTGCGACCGATTTCTTTGAACGAAGAAGTATAAATTATTTCTTAATTATTTACATTCCTTTCTCTTCACTTTCGTATCTCTTCTGCGCGATTATTCGATGTCTAATAATATTAGCCGATTGACCAGTTGCAGCTTGGATATCGCGGAATTTCATTGCATAATTAGTGCGAGGTATCGAAATGAAATAATTCTACGAGTTAATTATTATACGAATTCTTATTTACTGCTCCAAAAAATATCATCAGCTTTATAACAGAAAATCTTCGAACGTCTGCTCTTCTTTAGCACCAAAAATTCGTCTAGTGCAAAGGGTTAATAACAGTCCGTGATAATAAGATGTTGTCTGACACTTGCACTTGAATGGCGACCAGCGGGCGCAGAAATCTGAAAAGTTTTCCATTCGAGAAAGCCGCGTAGGCAAGAACACTGTACGCGTGTGTGCGCGCGTTCTCCACGATCCATCAGCGTTTCTCGCCTAGCCTGCGCAGCCTAGGCCGCGGCTAGCATTACTCATAGGTGGTAGGAGAGGTCACGTTTTCCAGGGTACTTTCATTCCGCAAGGACACCCGGTATATATGCCTAGCCGTGTGTACGCTTGTTGCCGTAAACGCGTAGAGGGAGAGCAGGGCGGAAAAAGCGGCATAGCTTGGCCGTTTTATTTCTCGACACGCAGCGTGTGCCGAGCGTGTGCTCGCATAGGCACGCTTAAGGTGTCACGGATCGACGATCGAGAGTAGCTCGCTTGGCTTTCAACCTGATTCGAGAGCAGTTCCAGATCGAGAAATCGTGAAAGCTCCTCTGACCGTGCTGCAACCACGAAGAAGATTTAACGATTTCTTTCCTCTCTTCTTCCTTTCCCCTTTTTCCCTCCTCGCTCCCTCTTCTGCCCCTTTTTCCCGACCGTCTGGCCACTTCTTCCTCCCTGGCCTGATCCTCGCGTGACTACTCGCGCTAGGACGGTAGCAGAAGCCACGGCAGAGTCACCGGTTATCGCCCAGGCTGATAGAAACTGACAGATACCACGATTTCCAGTCGTCTGTCGTTTATATCCAGGCTACGACATCTTCCTCTGTCTCCTTACTAGTCTTGTCAGCCGGACCAGATGCAAGGATAAATAAACACCGATGTGGGAGTGGATTAGAGACGAGCTAGGGCACTCGCGGATAATTTTTCACGTCGAGTTATGGCACCGGGAATGAATCGATTAGCCGGAAAGCTTGGCTCAGTAGGGCATGGAAGTCTACGAAGGGAACATATTGCAGTCAGCTGTTCGCAGTCGCGACTTCACGGGCTCGAGAGTTTATCGGATTAATCTCTCCGCTGGGATTCGGATGTTATGACCTAATCCATTTCGGTGTCTCTCGTCAACCTTATTTCTTTCTCGCGTGAGTCTCGTTTTTTCGCTCCGTTGTTAATTCTCAGGATGTAATTACTAAACGAATTCCGCGAAACGGGCACAGGTGGCTGGTAATGTCGCGTATGCGTTTTTGGGGAGATCTCGCGCTGCCCAAGGGCGAAGGAGACGTAACGAGACGGAAGGTCCTGCTATCTTCCGGTCACGGTGAAAACAGGCGAGCTCAATCGCGCTGTTTGAAAATATCGCAATTGCACGACTGTTCGATCGCAAAGTGAATTTTGCAGTAACTTTCCAAACGTGGCGATACCCTCTAAAAGCTTTCAGGTGAATTAAATTCCCCCGAAACGTTTACGATAAAATGTTTCCCTTTAATCTCTCTAATCACATGTGCTAGACTTGTTCCACGTATGCTGCAAACTTTCGGAATTTCGTTCGATACACGCGTTGGCCCGGTGTTTTCCCCCGTACCGACTCGATAAACTCGAAATATTTCATTTAACAAGCATGGTTCCTCCGATTCTCCTATAGCGATTCCAACTTTTCTCTTCCATCGCGAAAAATTCCGCGTTCCCTCGGGCTTCCTCCTTCGTTAGCTCGTCGATGATTTTTCGGTTTCACCGTTCGAATCCCAAGCAGCGCGATCGCTCTTCAGATTCTGTGTCGAAAAATCACGGTACATTTCGAGAGCTGTAGACAACTGACGGTGTAAAGGGAGCACAATCGCGTTACCTAGCACATATATTTTATGT